ATAAAAATATATAATGAAAACTCTAGTGGATGTAATTAGAACACTGAAGTGTTCCTGGAACTTAAAAATATTCTAGAGCCCTAGCCAGTTTGGCTCAGTGGTTAGAGTGTCTGCCCGTGGACTGAAGGGTCCTGGGTTCGATTCCAGCCAAGGGCACGTACCTCGGTTGCAGACTTGATCCCCGGCCCCAGTTGAGGCACGTGTGGGAGGCAACCAATTTATGTGTNGCAGCCAAGGGCACGTACCTCGGTTGCAGACTCGATCCCCGGCCCCAGTTGAGGCACGTGTGGGAGGCAACCAATTTATGTGTCTCTCTCACATCACTTTTTCTCTCTCCCTCTCCCTCTCTCTCCCCCTTCCAGTCTCTCTGAAAAAGCAATGGAAAAAATATCCTCAGGTGAGGATTAAAAACAAATAAATAAATAAAAATATTCTAGAACTTAAAAAAATTTTTCCTAACTTAAAAATTCAATAGAATAATTGGAAAAGTGAATGGTCACTGTTAAAAACACAAATTCAGTCCCCAAATATATTGAAATCGGACACCCACCAGACACTAATCATGTTTCTTTTCCTTGGTGACAGTTTTTTTTAAGTATCTTGCTGGACACAACAAGAGGCTGTTCCCTTCCTTTCTGCAGCATCAACCATAACTGACTAACAGCTGAAAATGGTCTAGCCAACCCAAGTCTGTGTAGTTAGCAGTTAAGTGACTCCGATATGACCTCAAGAGCTTGGTGAAACCAAAATTTACACTTCTAAACTAAAATTCTCAGACCCATTTTCAAAGTGCAGGGTGCCTGAAACTGTTGCCAAGTTGGAAAGAACACCAAATACCACAAGGAATGCATGACTTCAATCAATCAAACCCTGCTGAATTGTAATTCCTTTGTACTTTCTGCTGCTCTTCTCATATCTTACTTCAATTGGCTAAGTTCAGAATCACCCAGTCAGATCCTCCTAAATGAAAATTTATGAATATCTATAACCTCTTCTTATCCTCAACTCCTAAAACTTGCTTCCATCCAGCCTTTGTTAGATAAGACAGATTTGAGCTTTTGTCATACAACTGAACCAGAGTTCGTTTGCCCACGTGCACAAACTGAAAGAAATGTACAAGCAGGAGTTTACGGTGGTGAAAAGAATTAACTTATTAGGATTGGTGCCAATTTGGAGAATGGGTGAGCTCATGCTCCAAAATACCCAACTCCCCAATAGCTTACAGACAAAAGGCTTTACAGAGTAAAAATACAAGTCATCATGAGTAAGGGGTTTGGGATCCTGGGTGAACAAGTTCCTGTCAAGATGATGTAAACAAACTCTGTGCTCACCTCTTCCCCTTATCACATCAAAATTACAACTAAATTATAGAACAATAAACCTAGAGAACCATCTGAAGGCCAGCTGAACAAAAGTCCTATAACTAAGAATATAAAGAAGAGCCACTTTGAGATGGGTAGGAGGGGCGGAAATGTAAACCAGGCTGGGCCCACACTCAGGCGGGCGTGTGGCAGTTGAGAATCGGGAGGGATAGTTCAGTGGCAGAGGTCCCGCTTGAGGAGAAAGGGGTCCCAGCCCCACACCTGGCTCCCCATCCCAGAGAAACTGCCAGGAAGGGGTTCCCCACAACACCTGGCTGAGAAAATCAGTGGGGATTCTATCCAGATGAGATGGAAGGCTACTGGAAATCCAGGCATCCTCTTAAAAGGCCTGAGCACAGACTAACTCGCAGGCACTCACCCTGGACTCCAGGGAGGGATAGCAGCTGGGTCAGTGGAGGGGGGGACATGAAAAGCATGCAGGGAAAAACTGAGTTGTATGGCTTCAGGGCAAGGGCTGGAGGGATAGCCACCATTGCCTCTGTATTGAGCTCTCCTCCCACACAACCAAATCTGAATCTACACTAACCTGGTGAACACCATTCACCCCACCCTGGAGCTGAGCCTTACAGGCAGCCAGCAGGTGGCAGCAGATCTCTGGGCGCCCTCTGATGCATGGCTGGAGGCCTGGTCCTGGTGGTAGCCAGTCTTGGTTCACTGCATGGCCTCTCCCACACATCTCCAGACCTAGCACAGGCAGCTACCAACTGCAGATCACTTTGTAGCCCCTATGAGGTAGTGCGGAGCCTGTCATAGGCTGAATGTGGCCTGCACCAGAGCCCCTCCCAAGAGGCCCCAGAAATAGGCCACACTCCGTGGCTGGCTTCAGACAGTAGAGCACTACCCGATTAGCTACACAAGTGGCACAAGAGCCTGCTGGGGTGAGTCCTGCTCTGTGGAATTAACCCACACACAGCAGCTCTTTTGCCGTGGTTGTGCCAAAACTTAGTCAGCCAGCCAGAGGATCAACTCCACCCACTGACATGCCAACAGTAATCAAAGCTCAAGTATAACAGGAGGGCACACACAATCCACACAAGGGACACTCCCGGAGTACTCAGCTCAGGTGATCAGAGAGACTACCACTGGGCCCCACAGGACACCTACTACATAAGGCCACCCTGCCAAGACTGGGAGATATAACAGATCTACCTAATACATAGAAACAAACACACAGAGGCAGCCAAAATGGGAGACAAATATGTCCCAAGTGAAAGAACAGGATATGACTACAGAAAAATAACTAAATGAAATGGAGGCAAGTAATCCACCAAAAACAGAATTCAAAACACTTGTTATAAGGATTCTCAGCAAACTTAGTGAGAACTTCAATAAAGATACAGTAAGCACAAAAAATGGACATAGAAATAATAAAAAAAAAACAGTCAGAAATGAAGAACACAATAACTGAAAGAATATACTATATCATGATAACTATGTATGTTTTATGGGGCCAGGTGGGTACTTAAAGCATGGTGGGGGGGAGGGGCTCTTTATAAGGTATGTAATTTTCTAAACCATTGCTATACATATGAAATTAATACAGAATAATATTGAATAAAAACTGTAATTGAAAAAATAAATTAAAAAAGAGAAAGAATACTCTAGAAGGGAATCATCAGCAGATTAAATGAAGCAGAGGATTGAATCAATGATTTGGAAGACAAGGTGGCAGAAAACACCCAGTATTACAAGAAATGCTAAACGGATTTATTTAAGAAAAAGAATGGGGGGCGGAGAACATAAATGTGGAGAGTGGCTGAACCTGGAGGCTGGCCAGGACTCGGGCAGGAGCAAGGCTGTGCCCTGAAGACCCTGAGGGACCTTGTCCGGGGCAGAGGCAAAGCCGCATCGTTCCCTCTCAGGGAACGTTCCCCCACTTCCCCACGCAGGTCACGGCATATAAATATAAATAATAAAATGACAATAACTATGTACCTATCTAAAATCACTTTAAATGTAAATAAAGTGCTCCATCCAAAAGACAGAGTAGCTAAATGGGTAAGAAAACAAGACCAATACATATACTGTTTACAAGAGAGCCACTTCAGAATGGAAGACACACAAAGACTGAAAGTAAAGGGATGGAAAAAGATATTTTATGCAAATGGAATTTAAAAAAAAGCTGAGGGAGTAATACTTGTATCAGGCAAAATAGACTTTAAAACAAAAGCTATAGCGCTAGCCAGTTTGGCTCAGCAGTTAGAGCATTGGCTTGCAGACTGAAGGGTCCTGGGTTCGATTCTGACCAAGGGCATATACCTTGGTTGCAGACTCAATGCCCAGCCTTGGTCAGGGTGTGTGTGGAAGGCAACCAATCGCTGTGTCTTTCTCACATTGATGTTTCTCTCTCTCTCTCTCTCTCTCTCCCTCTCTCTCTCCCTCCCTCCCTCTCCCTTCCTTCCACTCTCTCTGAAAATCAACGGAAAAAAAATCCTCAGGTAAGGGTTAAAAAAAAAAAAAAATCCTACCATTTGTGACAACATGGATGGACCTAGAGGGTATTATGTTAAGTGAAATAAGTCAGACAGTGAAAGTCAAATACCATATGATGTCACTTATATGTGGCATTTAACAAAATAAATGAAAGAACAAAACAGAAACAGACTTACAGATACGGAGAGCAAACTTATGGTTGCCAGATGGGAGAGGTGGCTGGAGGTCTGAGTGAAAAAGTTGAAGGGATTAAGAAGTATAAGTTTATAGTTACAAAATGGTCATGGGGATATAAAGTACAGCACAGGGAAAATAGTCAATAATCTTGTAATAACTATGTATGGTTCCAGGTGGGTACTAGACTTATTAGGGAAATCACTTCATAAATTATATGAATATCTAACCACAATGCTGTATACTTGAAACTAATATAGAATAATATTCAATGTCAACTGAATTGAAATAAAAAATTTTTAAATTGTAAGGTAAGGGCAGTAAATCATTATCTCAGGTATTGAGGTCAGCTTCCCTATAAGTGGATTCACTAGGATTTAGGAGCTGAAATACAGCTCAGGCCATGATATCTTTAGCTTAACAAAACACTTAACTGGCTTCCATCAGGCAAGGCATAGCCATTGTCTTGCTGCCTCAGGGGGTTAATAACTATAAGGGAAAGGGCTAAGGTTTACAGGGTATGCTGTGAAGAAAGTGAATAGAGTGCCGGGGCTACATATTAAATCAAAATCAGGACCTTCGGTTTCTACTGCATCTGTGTAAAAACAATTCAGGCCATAAATATTCATTTTGGGAAAAAAAGTTATTTTTTGCCTTTAATAAACATGGCAACATGCTGGAAGCTGACAAGAAAACAGCACAGATATGCAGGAATAATGCACAATAAGGAACTCCAATCTGCAGTCCGGGTTCCACCAAGATCCCTTTTATTCTCGGGGTTTGTGCCTCAGCTGGATAAAAGATGGGGTGGGCGTCCCGGCCGGCTATTGGCGGAAGGACCGCCAGGGGGCGCTCCAAGCACGTCTGTAAGTCCCTGGGGAACCCTCCTTCCGCGCACTACAGAGTTCCAGCTTGCCGCTCCTTCCCCGCCCGCCGACAGGGGGCGCCGCAGGCAGCCCGGCGCTCACTAGCTGCCCACGAGCGGCTGCGCGGGCCAGCGGCTAGGGGCCGGGCCTGGAGGAGACCATGGACCGGTTCGTGTGGACCAGCGGCCTTCTGGAGATCAACGAGACCCTGGTGATCCAGCAGCGTGGGGTGCGCATCTACGACGGCGAGGAGAAGGTAGGGCGGCCGCGCGGCCCAGCCGGGCCTCGCTCTCTCGGGCCTCGGCGCGCAACTGG